CTTTGACATGATGCAGTGTGAACACAACCACTCCGGAAACTTCATAAAGGTTCAAACACACACACACACACACACACACAGAGATTTTGTCAGGTTTAGCTCACTTTTGGGTACAAATTCGGAAACTCGGAAACTTCATAAAGGTTCAAACACACACACACACACACACACACACACACACACACACACACACACACACACACACACCTGTTTTTATATCATGACCTCACTTTGACTTCTCTTGTTCTTAATATAAGCTAAACTCAACATTTTTACATGCAGATAACACATTATTTAATCCTTTTTTTAAAAAGTTGTTTTGGTCTACACAAAAACCTGACATACACGTATATACTGTGTACAGTTGTGGGGACTGTAGTTTAATTTTTATTGTTATTCAAATAAGATAGTAAATGTGCTTAAAATACTTTTTTTTTTAAATATTTATATGGAATATTTATATAAATCCAAGTAATGGATTTAAACATGATATCTATGTAAATGTGTTTAAAATATTTTTTTATATATATATTACTATAATTCTAAATAGATTTAAACGTGGTAAAATGTGTTAAAATATAAACAAAAATTTATGCAACATTTATGATTCTGAGAAATTAATTTAAACTTGGAAAATTTGTAAAATATACTTATTTATATGAAATATTTATAGTGCTAATGAATGAATTTAAATATGGCAAAATGTGTTAACATTTTTAAAAAGCATTCTATGGAATATTTCTGTAATTCAGAGTAATGTGTTTAAAATGTGTTTTTTTCAATATTATTTCTAAATGTAATTCTATGGAATGGATTCAAATGATTTAATGGATATTGAATATTTCTATAATTCTACGTAGTTGATTTAAAGATGGTAAAATGCATCTAAAATATTTTTCACATATTTCTATAGTTCTATGGAATGAATTTAAAGATAAATGCATTAAAAAAAATATTAGTAATATTTTAATATTACTATTTAATTTTAATATTAATATTTCCTGGAGTATTTCTATAATTCTGGGAAATGGATTTAAACATGATAAAATGTGTTAAAATATTTATAAATATTTATATAATATTTCTGTAATTCTATGAAATGGGTTTAAAGATGGTAAAATATATTTAAAATATTTAAGATATATATTCTCATTGAATATTTCCATAATTCTGAGGAAAGGATTGAAAATATTTTATGAAATGGTAAAAATCTGCTCAGGTTCAATGAGTCAGTGTAGGCCCGCTGTAGATTAACCCTATCAAGACTTTTAGCATGTTTAGGATTGAAATAAGATTTTTTTTTCCATTTATGAATATTTTCTGTTAGGACGTCACAACAACTTGCTATTTTGGGATGTTTTTCAAAAAACATAGAGAAAGCTGCCCACACACACAGATTAGCAAATGCACATTGACAATGTTGAACTTGTTAATGAAGTCTCTCTCTGCCTCTCAGTTTGAGAACGAGATCATCCTGAAGTTGGATCATGAAGTGGAAGGGGGTGGAGGAGACGAGAGATACATGGAGCTGCTACAGAGCATGTACGAACACACACACACACTGTGGTCTTGTAAAATGCTGGCTTGACTCCATAAGAAGCTCCAAATCCTCCTTAAATCTCCTGAAAGCATGAGAGCCGCTCTGACCGTGTGCCGTTTCAGTCTTTTAGAGTGCGCTCAGGGACGCCCCCCGCTGCTGACCGAGGTACAGCACTTCGTTACTCTTGTGACCGGCCTCCTGGAGCGACTCCTTGACTACCGCACAGTGATGAGTGATGACAGTCGAAACAACCGCATGAGCTGCACTGTCAATCTTCTGGTAAGCCCCGCCCACTTCATGTGTCACAGACATAAAGGGGTTTTCTGATTGATCTGGTCTGATCAGTTTGAGCTGTCGGCCTCCTGATGGGCCCAAATGGACGATGTGTTCAGTCGAAACAACCGCATGAGCTGCACTGTCAATCTTCTGGTAAGCCCCGCCCACTTCACGTGTCGCAGACATAAAGGGGTTTTCTGATTGATCTGGTCTGATCAGTTTGAGCTGTCGGCCTCCTAATGGGCCCAAATGGACGATGTGTTCAACATAACTACTGAACCGACTGGTTATTTTATTTAACAAACATGCAGATTAATATCCCAGCACAAAATCTGGAGGTTTAAAAGCAGCTCCTGCCCATAATGAATAGTTGTTTTTCACTAAAACCATTAGAAATTGTTTTGATAAAATAAAATAAAAGTTATATTATTATATAATATAGTAATATAATTTTTTTTTTAAATATATTAATATAAATAAAAATGTTAGATGGTACACTTAAATGTAAAAACTTGTGAAATGTGAAAACTGCTGCCTTGCCAGCTAACTAAAATAAGTTGAAGTTCTAAAATGGCTAAAAACAGGAAAAAATAAAGCTAAATAGAAATAATAAAAAACTAAAAAGTAATAAAATGATTTTCACATCAAATTATTAAAACTCAAACTAAAAAATTTAAATGAAAATAAAATTGTATTTAAATTATTAATAAAAACTAAAATAGTATAAATACACACTACTGGTCAATTTTTTTTATGTTTTTGAAAGAAGTCTCTTCTGGTCATCATGGCTGCATTTATTTCATGAAAAAAATTTGTTTAAAACAAGTAATATTGTGAAATGTTATTATAATTAAAAATATTGGTTTTCTATTGGATATTATATTTTAAAATATAATTTACTCCTGTGAGGCAAAGCTGAATTTTCAGCATCATTTCTCCAGTCTTCACACTTAAATGTAAAAACTTTAAAAAAGGAAACTGCTGCCTTGCCAGCTAACTAAAATAAGTTGAAGTTCTAAAATGGCTAAAAACAGGAAAAAATAAAGCTAAATAGAAATAATAAAAAACTAAAAAGTAATAAAATGATTTTCACATCAAATTATTAAAACTCAAACTAAAAAATTTAAATGAAAATAAAATTGTATTTAAATTATTAATAAAAACTAAAATAGTATAAATACACACTACTGGTCAATTTTTTTATGTTTTTGAAAGAAGTCTCTTCTGGTCATCATGGCTGCATTTATTTCATGAAAAAAATTTGTTTAAAACAAGTAATATTGTGAAATGTTATTATAATTAAAAATATTGGTTTTCTATTGGATATTATATTTTAAAATATAATTGACTCCTGTGAGGCAAAGCTGAATTTTCAGCATCATTTCTCCAGTCTTCACAGCAATCTCAGAAATACATTAAATTTTAAAGTAAAAAAAAATTATAATAATAATAATTCTGTTAAATAAACACATTACGCTATTAATCTGTTAAACCTCACAGTGTAACTCGTAACTCGCTAGTACTTTAGGAAGGATGTGCTGTTACTTTAAATGATCAGAGGTACAATTTTCACCTGGCTGATAATCAAACAGATGAAAAAGTCCCAGTCCCATATATTTACATGCATACAAATTTGATAATATCTCATTCAAATGTCCATTTGGAAACATCAAGATGCAAATAAAAGTTCAGCATATGGATCAGCAATAACCAAATACATTTCAAGATGCTTATCAAAAATGTCAGGTGACTTGGATCAACAAGTCATGTGATTGAATAATTTACTCAACTTCATTGTAAATGTTTGTCTGTGGCTCTAAACCACAAGTCATTGATGAGCAGTTTCTTCCCTAGATATGACTTACATTTCCTTTTCTATTTTACCCAGTTTTGTTTACTTGAACACATGGGATGGAAACATTGCCTTATTCATTTTTTTATTCATTTTAATGCATAAATTAAATTGGTTGAAACACAGCCAATTAAGGATGGATCCAAGCTTTTGAGGAAAATATAATAATGAACACGTTCAGAAGTGGCAACGAAGTGATTCCCACATGACCTTATGTTTTAAATTAGAGTTCATTTTCTTGCTACAGTATGATGAATCTGTCAGCTTTCATCCTCTTTAAATGATTCATATGCAAAATCCAGGCAGAATATTTCCTTTAAATGAACATACAGAAACAAATGAAACCGTGTGTAATACAACAAAATCTTTAACTCCTCTGCTCCATAAAATATTCATCTTTTTCTTAACAATTCATTTGAGATTTGAGTTGCTTGTTTTCTAACGGTCAGAATGTCGCTGCCGCAACTTCAATCTGTCAGACTGGAAATGACTTCAATATCTGAATAAACTATAAATAAGCATCATATCGGTGTGTGCGTCACATTTAAAATCTTGAGAAATCCATCATCATCATTTTGCGTTACATATCAGAAGCATCTAAAAAACGCAAAACAATCTCGTCTTCAGAGAAACGTCAACACAGAGGCTCAAAGTTAACGTTTGCGTTTCATTTCTTTGCAGAATTTCTACAAGGACATCAACCGTGAGGGGATGTACATCAGGTAATTTCCATATTAACTCTGTGTGTGCGACTGTGATTGTACGTGCTTGTGTGTGTATGTGTGTGTGTGTGTGTGTGTGTGTGTGTGTGTGTGTGTGTGTGTGTGTGTGTGTGTGTGTGTGTGTGTGTGTGTGAGACTGTGATTGTATGTGCTTGTGTGTGTGTTGGTTGTGTAATCTGAAAGGAGATTATCTTGGTCTTGCTGAATTAATGTCAAAATCCAAAGGATAAGCATCCAAGCACAGAGACAGAACGAGGGACAGAGTGAGACGCCGTCTGTGTTTGACATACTGCTACCTTACAGGCACATTAAACATAAATGAGCGTGTGTCTGCAGAGAGGCGTTCTGCAAGGGCCAAACGTGACCGAGTTCTCTGATTGTCAGTGTGAGATGAATGAATGCGTCTCGATTCTGATTCAGATGTTTGCTATTGACAATAAATGCGATCAAGTTCTGTGTCACTGTGTGTGTGTGTGTGTGTGTGTGTGTGTGTGTGTGTGTGAGACTGTGATTGTATGTGCTTGTGTGTGTGTTGGTTGTGTAATCTGAAAGGAGATTATCTTGGTCTTGCTGAATTAATGTCAAAATCCAAAGGATAAGCATCCAAGCACAGAGACAGAACGAGGGACAGAGTGAGACGCCGTCTGTGTTTGACATACTGCTACCTTACAGGCACATTAAACATAAATGAGCGTGTGTCTGCAGAAAGGCGTTCTGCAGGGCCAAACGTGACCGAGTTCTCTGATTGTCAGTGTGAGATGAATGAATGCGTCTCGATTCTGATTCAGATGTTTGCTATTGACAATAAATACGATCAAGTTCTGTGTCACGTCCTGGAGAAACACTGACAATTCAGCTTTAATGAATGACGAACGGAGATTGTCTAGTTTATTTATAACCTCATTTTATTTTCGTCATGACCTTTGACCTGTGAAATGAGAGAGAAAGATTGAGATATTATGAAAATGACAATAATTAGTAGACAATAATGTGAAATCATGATGCATATCTATAATTTCACCTACAGTAAGAATAATGAACTTGATTCTTGATGGCTTGGTGGAAGAATAGAATAGAATATGTATGTATGTCTAATGCACTGTACAATACAATACACGATATTCAGTGCAGTACAATATCAATACTAATCAATGTAAGAATTATTGCATTAAGTTCTGTGTCACGTCCTGGAGAAACACTGACAATTCAGCTTTAATGAATGACGAACGGAGATTGTCTAGTTTATTTATAACCTCATTTTATTTTCGTCATGACCTTTGACCTGTGAAATGAGAGAGAAAGATTGAGATATTATGAAAATGACAATAATTAGTAGACAATAATGTGAAATCATGATGCATATCTATAATTTCACCTACAGTAAGAATAATGAACTTGATTCTTGATGGCTTGGTGGAAGAATAGAATAGAATAGAATATGTATGTATGTCTAATGCACTGTACAATACAATACACGATATTCAGTGCAGTACAATATCAATACTAATCAATGTAAGAATTATTGCATTTATTACTGTTTGTAAATATAAAAAGCAAGTATTATATATATTTTTTGTATCATATTTCTCTTCAAATAAATTTCTAAGAGAAAAGCCATACTTTACTGTGATTTTACCACACTTGGGGGGGCTTTAAGCTCTCTGCTTTGTGTAGTACTTGCCTTAACACTCCTTAACCCTGGTCAAATCTTTTGAACAACGACCTACTGGCTTTATGTAATACTGCCTCCTTGTGGTAAATATAGATATAATTTGTTATGATCTAAGAGAAGTGAATATTGAGACAGAAATTCTATTACATAAAAGTAAATTTACCTCTTAGTATAAACATCAATTTATATACATTTATCACATAATATTAACATTGATATATACAGTATATATACATTTACATTTAGTCATTTAAGAGACGCTTTTGTCCAAAGCAACTTACAAATGAGGACAATGGAAAATCAAAATCAACAAAAGAGCAATGATATGCAAGTGCTATAACAAGTCTCAGTTAGCTTAACACAGTACACCTAGCAAGGTATTTTTTTTATTATTAAATAATAAATAAAAAGAAAACAGAAAAGAATAGAGCACGCTAATGTTAAAGGTTTTATGCTTTTGTTAATTGTCTAATAAATAAAAATAAAACAAATAGATAGAATACAAAAAGATTAGAAAAGCTAGTGTTAGTTTTTTTTTTAAAGAAAGCAAGCAGTAAATGAATAGAGTGCAAGTGTAAAAGGGACGTTTTTTTTAAAGAATAGAATTAAAATAGAGAGTGCTAGAGTTAGAGGGTCAAATAAAGATGGAAGTGATGTGTTTTTAGCCGATTCTTGAAGATGGCTAGTATAATGAAATATAGTTTTTATTATTTATAATATTTAGAATAGAATAGAATATGTATGTATGTCTAATGCACTGTACAATACAATACACGATATTCAGTGCAGTACAATATCAATACTAATCAATGTAAGAATTATTGCATTAATTACTGTTTGTAAATATAAAAAGCAAGTATTATATATATTTTTTGTATCATATTTCTCTTCAAATAAATTTCTAAGAGAAAAGCCATACTTTACTGTGATTTTACCACACTTGGGGGGGCTTTAAGCTCTCTGCTTTGTGTAGTACTTGCCTTAACACTCCTTAACCCTGGTCAAATCTTTTGAACAACGACCTACTGGCTTTATGTAATACTGCCTCCTTGTGGTAAATATAGATATAATTTGTTATGATCTAAGAGAAGTGAATATTGAGACAGAAATTCTATTACATAAAAGTAAATTTACCTCTTAGTATAAACATCAATTTATATACATTTATCACATAATATTAACATTGATATATACAGTATATATACATTTACATTTAGTCATTTAAGAGACGCTTTTGTCCAAAGCAACTTACAAATGAGGACAATGGAAAATCAAAATCAACAAAAGAGCAATGATATGCAAGTGCTATAACAAGTCTCAGTTAGCTTAACACAGTACACCTAGCAAGGTATTTTTTTTATTATTATATAATAAATAAAAAGAAAACAGAAAAGAATAGAGCACGCTAATGTTAAAGGTTTTATGCTTTTGTTAATTGTCTAATAAATAAAAAGAAAACAAATAGATAGAATACAAAAAGATTAGAAAAGCTAGTGTTCGTTTTTTTTTTTAAAGAAAGCAAGCAGTAAATGAATAGAGTGCAAGTGTAAAAGGGACGTTTTTTTAAAAGAATAGAATTAAAATAGAGAGTGCTAGAGTTAGAGGGTCAAATAAAGATGGAAGTGATGTGTTTTTAGCCGATTCTTGAAGATGGCTAGTATAATGAAATATAGTTTTTATTATTTATAATATTTTAATAATTAGAATATTTTTTCTGTCATATATTTTTTAATTTATATTAAATAAATACATAATGTAATATATATAGAAATATCTTACATTAAAAAAAAATATATATATATATACACTAAAATTAATGTGTTGTTTGTAATATCGTTTTGTATTTGTATTGTTTATTTATAACATTTTATAATATATTGTATTTATTTATATATAATCAATATTTATTGATTAATTGTAATTGTTGTGTTTGTTTCTAAGGTACCTCTATAAATTGCGGGATCTTCATTTGGATGGAGAAAACTACACAGAGGCAGCGTATACACTCCTGCTCCACTCCAAACTGCTCAAGGTTAACAAACCCACATTTAGTTTTGTATCTTTATGAGGACTCCTATCATTTTCTATTGAGCTAATTCATCCACTAAACTTAATCATCACAGAAACATTTTTGCATTTTTACATATTCATTCGAATGTAATTTTGGTGTGTTTATTAATCTTTGTCCTCGTGGAGAATTCATTTTCTAGGAATTTAGTACAATATGCATCTCATTAATAGATAAACAGGGTTATTATGGATTGGAATCATGAATTGTAAACAGGAAGTGACATCAAGTTGTAGTTAATTTCAAGTTTTACTATTTTTGAGAGGACATTTGAACCTCACACTGTAGGTTAAACCTTACACACACACACCTCTGACACTGAAGGTCACGTCTGACATACAGTAGAGATGTTCTGATTGGTTCACTGGAGACACACTTCTTCCCCGTGTGATTTACTGTGGTCCCTGATGGCCCTCGAGCAGATAAAGCCTCCAGGTCAGATTTATGACAGCAATGCAGTTCCTGTGGCGCGCCGGCAGATTTATAGAGCATTTTACCCTGCTGTGTGTTTCTCTCTTTCCCTCTCAGATGAACACGGCACAGTCCATACATTTCTATGATATTTAATGTTCTGTTATTTCACACAGCCTCTCCTCCCATTAGAAACCACTTCAGTTCAGCCTCTCGCTTTATTTCCCGTCAAACAAAGTTGTCATGATTCATTCAGTGCCATTGATGACTGTGACAGTGATCATTTAGTATCACTGATGTAGTATTACAGTTTTTGTGAATATTTTGAATTAGATTTTATTTTTAAATTTCATATTTTCATTTTCGTTAAAGGTTTAGTCATTTTGTTGTGTGTTTTTGTATGCATAAAATGTACTTACAATTGAAGTATATAATTATATAAAACATATATCATGTTATATTATTTCACTAATCTTTATTTTTCTTTTTTTTTTGCATGCACACAAACACACAATATATATTTGATATAATATTCTAATATATTATTGTTTTACTTAATCTATATTATTTTTATATACTGTATATATTATTTATTTTTATTAATTTTTTTTAATTTGTGTGTGATTTTTGTTAGTTTTGTTTTCTTTTTATGATGTCTGTATAGCTTTTTATAAATTGTATTATTAGGTTTAGTTTTATTAATTTTAGTACTTCAACTTAAACTAAACAAAAATGAGAAATGTGGGCATGGCTTACGAGCTGCTAAAAAAAAAGTTTATATTATATTATATCAGTAAGGAAAATAGGCTTTTTTGTGGCTATAGTTTGTTTTAGCAAACTATAATGCTGCTTTGACATCACTTCCTTTTTATCTAATAATGAGATGTGTGTTGCACTACAATGTCTTAAATATTAATTTCTAAATAATAATTTAATTGAGCATCACTTGGCAGTCAATACAACACCCTAACACACTGGCAGCCACCCTAGTTACTGGCGGCAAGATTTCATGGCCAAGAACCAGCTATATTGTCTTAAGGGAATGTAATACTCTTGTTTAGATTGCTATATAAAATCATAGTAATGTTGTGATGTGTTTGCAGTGGTCAGAGGAGCAGTGCATCCTTCAGCTGGACTATCAGACGTCTCATTCCCAGCGGCAGCTCAAAGAATCGCTCTACGACACCATCATCAGCTACTTTGATATGGGCAAGGTCAGCTCAGCTTCACATAGACTTCCTGTTTGATATTCAGTAGACGTGACTGGATGTTGAAGACTGACCTCATGAATGTTTAACCGTGTGTGTATATGTGTGTGAACATGGTTTTTATGTGTCAGATGTGGGAGGAGGCCATCACTCTGTGTAAGGAGTTAGCAGATCAGTTCGAGATGGAGGTCTTCGATTACGAGCTGCTCGGACAGAAACTGGTAACACACAATAAACTTTCCTCATTTAAAAATATATTATATTAAATTATATTATATTATATTATATTATATTATATTATATTATATTATATTATATTATATTATATTATATTATATTATATTATATTATATTATATTATATTATATTATATTATATTATATTATATTATATTATATTATATTATATTATATTATATTATATTATATTATATTATATTATATTATATTATATTATATTAGTTTTCTTTTTTATTGGTATATTATATTATAATATTATAAATATACTAATATTATATTAATCAATAATCCTTATTTATTTACTTGTATTCATTTTTTTTATTTGTGTATTTTTATTAGGTTTTTAATTTTTGCCGTTTTGCCAGTATATTATATTATATTTATTTGTTTGTATTATTATTTTTCTTTTTTATGTATGATATTTTTTATTTAGTTATCTTTTTCCTTTTTCCTTATGTATATTTTAATTATTTTTTTTAATAATTAAAATATAAATTTTAATGTATCATTTGAATTGTTTACACTTTTGAAAACATTATATTATATTATTATTTTGCTAATCTTTTTTCTAATTATTTTTATTAATGCATGTTTTATTATTATTTAGTTGTATTATTATATTATATTTTATTATTTTGTTTTCTTTTTTATTGGTATATTATATTAATCAATAATCTTTATTTATTTACTTGTATTAATTTTTTTTATTTGTGTATTTTTATTAGGTTTTTATTTTTGCCGTTTTGCAAGCATATTATATCATATTTATTGTTTGTTTGTATTATTATTTTAATTTTTTTATGTATGATATGTTTTATTATTTAGTTATCTTTTCCTTTTTTTCTTTTTACTTATGTATATTTTAATACTTTTTTAATAATTAAAACATACATTTTAATTAAAAAATATATCATTTAAATGTTTTACACTTGTGAAAACATATTTATTATATTATATTATTATTTCACTAATCTTTTTTATAATAATTTTTTATTAATGCATGTTTTATTATTATTTAGTTTTCTTATATTATATTATATCACTTTTATTTTGCTTACACACTCTCCATATTTTAAAAGTCTTCTTAAGTATTTGTTCTTTTAGCTGTTTAGCATTCTGTCCCTTTGTTTATTTCATCAATAAATTCTTTTTGCAGAATCAGCAGGCCAAGTTTTATGAGAACATTATGAAGATCCTGCGGCCCAAGCCAGACTACTTTGCTGTGGGATATTACGGCTGCGGCTTCCCTCAGTTCCTCAGGGTCAGTGTGTGTTTAATATTCTCAGATAAAACCGAAACTGTGCTAACAGGTGTGTTATGTAATCTAGATAATGATGTGTTGAGATATTCAATATCAACAGAATAAGGTTTTCATTCACCGTGGGAAGGAGTACGAGCGCAGGGAAGATTTCCAGAGTCAGTTGATGAGTCAGTTTCCCAGCGCTGTGAGACTCAACATCACCACAATGCCTGGAGACGACATTAAAAACTCCAACATGCAGTGTATCCTTCACTTTGACTGTGGGGCCATTTACAGCGTCGCTCTCATTTACATATTATGATTTTTTTTTTATATACAACATATTTATTAATTAATGTAATTAACTTTTTTTACTTTACCTTTTTCATCTTTAATTTTTAGTTATATTATATTGTAATATTATATTATTTCACTTTTATATTTAAACACATACTTTCATATATGTATATATAAATGGTCAGTCTGTTGTTCTTGACTGGATCTGGATCAGATATCCAGTGTTTTACAGTGCAGCCGGTTCTGGAGATCCCGCCGCGTCTGAAGAACAAACCAGTGCCTGATCAGATCATCAAGTCAGTTTGCAGAAAACCCAAAACACGCTCATCTGTGATACGTGTGAATCTGTAGCTGTGTGGCATGATCTGATGCTGTAAACTCACTCTTCTCTTCTCTTGGTTCTTTCTGGTGAATCTGTAGTTTCTACAAGTCCAACTATGTCCAGCGGTTCCAGTACTCCAGACCTGTGAGGAGAGGGAAAGTGGATCCTGATAATGAGTTTGCTGTGAGTCGAAACACAACATTCATCTCTCATCCATCTCTACTGTTCATAAAGCTGTAAAGATGCCTTTTTACTAGTGCTGGGCGGTATGACCAAAAATTGATATCGCGGTATTTTTCAAAATTATACCGGTTTCACGGTACATGACGGTATTTTTTTTTCATGCATGACCGGGTGTTAACCATATTTTCTACTGATTGAGAGAGGAAATACTGCAGTATATTGACTTAGAATGCCCTATTTTACTGTCATGATGAGTGAATATTGTCAAAAAATACCACACTAAATAGTGACTAAACATGACCCCTTTTAATACACGTTAACCAGGAGTCACTCTCATTTATAATCGCAGCATTGTCTGATAAAATCAACATGCATCTACACTAAAGAGTGGCTATGCGGTTGTTTTGGCTATATTACTTTTTTTGTCTCATGCAGCGCACTGCCTGCGTCTGAGTAACAAACTAAAAAAA